AATCCTTCACCTCCCTGGCTACGTTGGATCCTGTGTTTGGGAATCTCTTTTTTTCTGGTCACTGTTTTAAAGAAACAGTTCTTTAAGTTTCTTTTCTCCTAGTTTCCATTTGCTTGCAGAAACGTCATGGCTTTGTGTGCATTAGTTTTGTGACCTGCTGCCTTCCTGTCTTGGGTGCTTGTGACTATTTCCACCGACTGGGTGCGGTCCCGCTCTCGCTGCATCCCTGTCCGCGTGGTCATTTCTGGTGTTTCGGTGCTGTTCTCCCGTTCTCAAGGTGGAGAGGTGATGGCTCAGCACCGTTTTCATCTGCATCATCTCATAGCAAGTGATGCGATCACGCACGTATCCCCCTGTGCCCGCTGCGTCTCCGTGTGTGCCTGGTTGGCGACGCCGCGCCCTTGTGCCTACACAGGCCAGGGCGCACGCTGCTGAGACACTCTGCCTCCGGGAGAGCGACGCGGGTGCTCCTGGGGCTGGCCTTGGGCACGCGCAGCCCGGACAGCTGGCGGGACCCACGCGCCTCCCTCAGCTGCCGCCTCCCTCAGCTTCAGCTGCACACAGAGCCTCCCCTCGCAGCTCTGCGGCTGTCCCCTGCCCCGTGACCTTGGCGGGCGAGACCCTGGGCTCGCAGCAGAGGTTCCCCCTGAGGAAGCAGGGCCGAGGGCTGCAGGGACCGCAGGAGGGCGGTGTGCGCGCGCGGCTGCACAGGCACCAGGAGCCGTGGGAAGGGCAGTTGGCAGGCGGCGCTGCCTGGGCACCTGGCACCTGCCTTAGACTTAGCTCAGGCCCGGCGTGCCCCTCTCAGGCCATGCTGCTAGTGCTGCTAGTGCCGCTGTGCCCGTGGGCACTGCCGCCCCCCCTGACTCTCCCGGGGACTCCGACCTGTGGTGTGTGTTTGGGGCTGTCTGAATCTAGAACCGGAGAGTACCACTTAGCTCGTTGGAAAGGCAGGCCTGGGGGTTCCCTTGCAGCGTGGGGGGTCGGGCTTCGCAGCCGGTGCTAAGCAGCTGCTATCTGGCTGCTGGGGACATAGCTCATGGCCCCACGCAGAGCCCAGGCCCTGGGTTCTCAGGGCGGCCACAGTGCCCTGCGGGCTTGTCCTCAGGCCCTGGGCCTTTGCGATGCTGCCTGTTGGGGACCTGTTGCCACCTGCCCCACCGGGTCCTGGGAAGGGCCCGTGCTGGGGTTTGTCTTCCGGCGCGTCAGGCAGTGAAGGCGGCTCCCTGGGCTCGCCTGCGGTGAGGAGGAAAGGCCCCATGCAGATCCCGACTGGGCACGCCTCCCTCTTGGCCCCACCCAAGTCCTGGGGCCACCAGCACTGGGCCCGAACCACTGGGCTGTGGTCTCGGGAGGACGGAGAAGTCGCCTCCCAGTTGGCTGGTGAACTGACCCGCGGCAGAGCGCCCCATTCCCTGGAAGCGGCCTGCAAGGCACCACTGAGGGCGAGGTTTCACGGAGGGGTGCCCTGTGCCCCGCTGCAGCGCTGTTACCTGGTCAGTGCTGGCCCGCACGGCGCCGGCGTCCACACTCCACTCGAGCCCTGGGCTCTGAATCAGGTGTCATGGTTGTGCCCTGGTCCCCGCGACACTAGAGAACTGCTGTGCTCCTGCCTTTGTTTAGCTTGGTGGGTGCTGGGGACTGAGGAGCGGTGTGCGGACCTCCGAGTCCCCACGAGCTTGGAAGGAGCGCATGGCTCCCGCACGGCGTCTGGCCTGCTGTCCAGGTGCTCTCTGACTGACCTCAGGGCTGCCCTGGCCGTGTGCCCGAGCATGGGCCTCCCAGCCTGGTCTGTAGGTGGGTGGTGAGCATCGGGCCGAGCTCCTGGGGCAGCCTGAGTGGGTGTGCCCTGGCCCGGGGGCGCCAGCACCCACGCAGGCAGCGCCTTCCTTCCTCCGTCCACAGTGGCGCCGAGGTCTGGTGAGCAGCCACCCTGCACGAGAGGGCCGGGCTTGGCAGATCCTTCCCTGAGAGGAGGGCGTCCGTGTCGGCGCTGGGCCCCGCTGCCCGGAAGGCAGTGGGTCTGGGGGTGAGCCGTGTGACCGCAGCTTGCCCCCCTACGCCCGGAGCGCCGCCTGGGACTGTGAGTCAGAGAGCATTTGAGTTGAACGACGTAGGTCACATGGGGCAAATTAGCTCAACCAAAAATAACCCCCAAACAGCCTTTCTGGGAAAGGCCAGGGAAGAGCATTTCCAGTGTAAACAGGCCAGAGAGCAGATAGGCCTGGGAAGCGGGGAGGCGGCGGCCACCGGCGTTCCTTCCAGGCTCCCCTCTCTTCCCCAGGTCCCCTTGCGGTCAGTCAGGTTGCCCCTTCTGGTGTGGCACTTGCAGCTGCTCCAGGGAAGCCCCCTGCCCCCAGGCACTTCCTCTTCCCTAGTATTTCCTCTGGGCCCAGCTGTGACCGGCCCAAGGGGGTCTGCCCCATGCTCCCCCCACCCACGAGCTACCCTTGGGGGTGGGTCCTGCGCTCAGCTGGGCTCGGGCTGCCCAGGGTAGAGCCACCGCTGAGAACTCTGGGCTCTCGCACCAAGCACAGTGACTGCCGGCATCCCTGTGCTAAGGGCTGTCTTGGGACCAGGACTTGGGGTCACCTGGTAGGGTGAGGGGAGACCCTAACCAGAGAGGACGGGATCTGCGGAGAGTGGGTGGCGGGGACTTCCCAAAGGGATAGTGGCCATGGGGCCATGCCCTGCTCTGAGGCTGCACGTGGCTGGGGGCTTCTCTCCGTCCTGGGGCTGGCAACTTTCCGAGTGCTCAGACCATCGGCCAGGTCTAAGGGCAGCGATCCAGTGTTGTGATGAGAGGAATGAAAATTAACTAAAGTTCCGACTTTCATGGTGGCATCTTGGTGATCTAGCAACAGAATTGACTCTGTGGAGGTGTGCTGGGCTAGATTTATTTCCCTGAGTTCATATCTGCTCACACTGACCAGGCTCAGGGATGTGTGTGTGCTGGTGTGTGGGGGAGGAACCCATGGGTGCTGTGTACTTGGGGAGCCAGGGAAGAGGGGTGCTGGTGGTGTTCGTCTGTCTCAGAGTGACAGTGCCTGAGTGCAGGTGCCAGTCACCGAGGAGGCTGTCTGCTGCCCCCAGGGGACTTGCTGACACTGTCTCAGGCCCCCAGGGGGAATCGATGACACTGTCTCACTCAGGGCCCCCAGGGGGAATCAGTGACACTGTCTCAGGGTCCCAGGGGGAAATCACTGACACTGTCTTGGGGCCCCCAGGGGGAATCGATGACACTCTCTCACTCAGAGAGGGCCCCCAGGGGGACTCGGTGACACTGTCTCACTCAGGGCCCCCAGGGGGACCTGCTAACAGTCTCAGGGCCCCCGGGGGAATCAGTGACACTGTCTTGGGGCCCCCAGGGGGAATCACTGACACTGTCTTGGGGCCCCCAGGGGGAATCGATGACACTCTCTCACTCAGAGAGGGCCCCCAGGGGGACTCGGTGACAGTGACTGTCTCACTCAGGGCCCCAGGGGGACTCACACTGTCTTGGGGCCCCCAGGGGGAATCACTGACACTGTCTTGGGGCCCCCAGGGGGAATCACTGTCACTGTCTTGGGGCCCCCAGGGGGAATCGGTGACAGGACTGTGCTGGAACCCCAGGGGGAGTTGGGACCAGAGCTAGCTCCTCTTCTGCATTTGGGGACCTCACATGGGCTTTCTCCACCTCAAAAGGATGAAAAATGCTTTTTCTCTACTTTGAGCATTCGATAACTCACACTGATGACTCTAATTGGATAAAGTAAAGACCCTCCCGTTGATCATCGATTTGCTCGAGCGGGCCCAGTAACGTCTCCATTGGAGACTTTGTTGTTACTGTGTCTGGCACATCAAATACGTCACGGGGAGCTTGCCAGGCTCTGCCGTGCAGGCGAGATCCTCTCGGTAGCTTGCCGGGCTCTCCGAGAGGGGCGGAGGAATCGAACTCGGGTCGACCATGTTGGCTGCGTGCAAGGCAAACGCCCTACCTCTGTGCTATCGCTCCAGCCCTGATCGTTTTTTCACTGACGTGGTGAGGCGGGGTGGGGGGCGAGCCCCGAGGGGCTCTCGCTTCTGGCGCCAAGCGCCCGGCCGCTTGCCGGTCGGGCACGACCCGCTCCGGGGACAGTGCCAGGTGGGGAGTTTGACTGGGGCGGTACACCTGTCAAACGGTAACGCAGGTGTCCTAAGGCGAGCTCAGGGAGGACAGAAACCTCCCGTGGAGCAGAAGGGCAAAAGCTCGCTTGATCTTGATATTCAGTACGAAAACAGACCGTGAAAGCGGGGCCTCACGAGCCTTCTGACCTTTGGGGTTTTAAGCAGGAGGTGTCAGAAAAGTTACCACAGGGATAACTGGCTTGTGGCGGCCAAGCGTTCATAGCGACGTCGCTTCTTGATCCTTCGATGTCGGCTCTTCCTATCATTGTGAAGCAGAATTCACCCTAATTGGATAATTATGTTTATAATATAAACACTTACCAAACATTCTACGTCATGTGTATTTGCCCCAGTCCTCCGAGTGGTGACTGGGATCTGGCTGTGATCGCCCCCCCGGCGCTGCTCTTCCCCACAGTTCTCTCTGGAGAGCACGGGCTCAAGTGGCCTCTGGCCCGTTGAGTGCACCGCACAGTTCCCTTCCTGCCAGCCGCCCCCATGCCTCTGTCACTGTCAGTAGTGGCCTCCTGTCCTCCACTGCGCACCGTGACTCAGAGGCGCGACTGCCGAGCTCGGCCCCTGTGCTGCGCTGGGACGCGTACCCACTGCTCGGGGTCTCCAGGACACAGCTGGGTCTGGCGGTGTGACTGGGTGTCCTGGGAACTGCGGGCTGGAGGAGTGGCAGTGTGATCCGCCCGGCACGTCGTGCGCCTTCCTGTGTTTGGGTGCTGTGTGTCCCGTGGCCGGCCAGAGAGGATGGGGGTTTGTGTGTCCGAAGCGTGCTCCTTGCGCCAGCTGCGAGAGATCGGAAGCGGTGACTGACAATCCTTGCGGAGTGACGGTCTTTGTTCCTTTAGGTCGCCCCGAGAAGTGAGGCCCCCAGCAGCAGCGGGAGCAGCAGCTTGGAGAAGGCGCTGCCCACGTCGGCACATTCCACGGAGGAGGCCCTGCCCAAGAGGCCAGGCGGCAAGCACAGCAAAGGTGTGTTCCGGTGCGGGTGGGCGGGCACGGCGGTCGGCGTAGCCGCGGGGTCTCCGGTCCCGAGACCATTCTTGAGCCATGGAGAAGGCTCAGAGGGCCGGAGCACAGATGCTGCGTGCGGAGCTCTGGGCCCGTCAGGCCTGGTCCTGAGCACTGCCAGGTAAGGCCCCCAAACCGAGAGCCGTGGAAGCTCCATGCCCCTGCAGGGGTGGCCCACAGCGGAGGTCCTGTGCCTGGGTCGGCACTCGGGGGCCAGAAAAGGGTGTGCCCGCCCTGTGTGCCCGCCCGCAGGGTCACGGAGCTGAGCGTGAGGAGACTCAGATGGGTCCTCACTGGCCACTCCACCACTCAGCTGGTCTCTGCTCCTGTTTGGTTTGAGTCTGAGAACTGACGCCATTTTGACCGTCAGTGCAGCTGAGGCGTTCGGAAGCCCTGGGTTTCTGAACAGGCTCCAGCCGGAGCCATCCCACTCCCTAATGGCGGGAGCCCACCAGGACCCACTCCACGTAAGGCCTGGGGACAGACTCTGTGCACTCGCCTTGGCAGGACTGGGGGGCCGTTCCTGGTGGAGTGCCGGGATTACACCCGCCTCTTCCGGCACAGCCTGTGCTGCTGCTCGAGCCGGGGCCTGGATCCCTGGGTCGTCCTCCATGCCCAGGACATCGTGGAGTGCTGGAGATCGAACTGGGGGCAGTTGCATGTGAGGGGGACGGCCTGAGCCCTGACCCTGAGGTTGGTCAGCTCGGTCAGGGGTCAAGCAATGAAGCCCTCTCCGTGTCACTGATGGGGGAACTCCCCCCGAGCTGAGCTTAGAGCCCCGCTTAGCCGGAAGAGACAGGCCAAGAAGACCAGGGCCACACGCCTGCTCACTCCGACGTGTACACAGTGCCCCTCTGCTGGTCCCAGCACCGCCCACCTGTGCCCACTTACCACTTGTCCCTCTGCCTGCCCCTCAGGTACCCCGGAGCCCTGCTATGCAGGTGACACCTGTGTGGCCCATGCTTGCTCTCTCCTTTCTTAGATCTCCCCTGAGGCCCCACCTGCAGGCTCACACGGGCCCCTCCAACCTCTCTGAAGAGGTTCTGGGTCCCCCGTACCCTCTTGTCACCGCTGGTGCCTGCTGGGTCAGGCTCGGGGCTGCTGTCTTTCAATGTGCAGCCTCGTATGGACGAAAGCTGGGCTGGACGCTGACCCAGCTTATGTGTTCCAGCTCCTGCTGCCCTGGAACTTTCCTCCTGCCCAACTCCTCTGTCCAGCGTGGGCCTTTGAGTCTCCGGCTCTTTATTCTCCCCACCCTGCCTCCCAGGCCCCTGCTGTGAGTCCAGCGAAGGTCCTTCCCCAGACCCTCACCAGAGCCGTGGTCTGGACTCTGCTGCTTGGCCTGTGTGAGGCGCGCCCAGTGGGAGAGCAAGCGTGGTTTGCAGTGTTCTCGTCAGAACCAGGTGGCGGCAGAGACTTTCTCTGCTTGTTTCTGTGCCACACCTGGCGGTGCTTGGACATCAGTCCTCGCTCTGTGCTCAGCGCGCATGTTGTCCAAAGGCTGGCACCCGCCTCCTGCTCCGGGGCCTGTGCCCTTCCTGCCAGGCAGCTCCGCGGCGCTCAGCAGAGGATTTCGTCCCCCTTCCTCTTCGCTGCCATTTCAGCGGCCAGCACAGCTTGGTTGCGGTGCTTGCCAGGGTCTCCCACTTGCTCACAGTGCCCCAGAGACACCCCACACTGTCCTGGCATCGCAGGGGCCCCAGATAGCTATGCCACCAGGACTGCACTTGGCCATGGCCAGTGCCAGGATTGGATGTGCAGCCTCGTGGCCCCGAGTTGCCGCCAGAATGGCCCCCGATGTGAATGTGATGTCATGAGTGTGTGTGGTTCTGTCAGGTCGGAACAGGGCATTTTCCTCCTCTTCTCTGCATTTTCTCTGCCTTACTTTTTTTTTTTTCTGTTTGGGTCATATTCAGCGATGCACAGGGGTTACTCCTGGCTTTTGCACTCAGGAATTACTCCTGGCAGTGTTTGGGGGACCACGTGGGATGCTGGTAATCGAACCCCGGTTGGCCGCATGCAAGGCAAATGCCCTACCTGCCGTGCTATCACTCCAGCCTCTGCCTCCAGCTCTTTTCGCTTCCTTGATTCATTCTCTGAAGAGGCATTTTATTGTTGGGCACAAAGATGAAACTACTTAATAAAGATACAGTGATAGAAACATTTGAGCAGTAACTGCTGCCCTTCCCTGCAGAAGAGTGGGTAGATGGCAGAGTGGGTCTCGCAGCCCAGCCAGGCTCTGGTGCTCTCAGATCCCGGGCTCTGACTTCTGTCCACTTGCTTATGGCCCTGAGGTGTAACAGGGACAGTGAAATGCAGAGAAGTTGTCCCTGGGCCAGGCTTGGCGCCCTCCTGCTGGTGCCCCAAGGCCAGCCCAACTGGGCTTCTGGGATCGTCGTCAGCCTTGCCCACCCCACGCCCTGTGCTTCTCCGCTCACCTGGCCTTCCTTGTTCCAGCAACATTTATTCTCTCCGCTTCGTTCAAGCCCCTGTTTTTGGCGGACTTGGCCTCGGGGCTACTCCCAGCAGTTCTTGGCCAGTAGGTCGGTGGTTGAGTCGGAGGGTCTGAGGATGTGGCGTTGCGCATTCCCTGCAGCACGAGGGCTCACCCGGGACGCACCCAGCCCTGTCGTATCTCTAAGGCTCAGGTAGCGTGGCTCCCAGCCGAGTGGCCAGCCTCCCCTCACCCCCGCTGGACGCCCCAGTTGGAGTGACCTTCCCTCCCACCTGGCTCCCTCTGTTTGCAGGCCGGGAGCTGCTTTGGTTGGTCAGTTCACTCCAGCTGTTTCTGTCCCACGTCTGAGCTGGGCGCTTTTCTCTCCTGCCCGCCTTGGCACGCCCCTACCTTAGTCTGTCCAGCTTGGCTCCTCTGCCTGCTGCCCGGGGTCCCCTGGGCCTGCCCGCCCTCAACTGGCCATGCCGCTGGCCTCGGAGCCGCTGCAGACATGCCCTTGGCATCCTGGGACCCTCTCGGCTTCTTGCTTCTTTTCTCTCGTGGCTGCTCCCTGCCGCGTTCCCAGATGCTTCCCAGGAGCACAGGCTGCTGTGAGGGGAAGCCGACTTGGGTCATCCGCAGTGGGGCCTGGGGTGACTTTCTTTGTCGTCCAGAACTGTTGAGGGACTGCAGAGATAGTACAGAGGGTAGGGCACTTGCCTGCAGGTAGCCAGCCCGGGTTCGATCTCCACCCCCATTTGGCCCCTCAGATGCACCAGGGCCATCCTTTAGCACAGAGGCAGGACTAAGCCCGAGCACTGCCAGGTGTGGCCCCCAAACGAAACCAGAGTCAAGCAGAGCAGAGATGGTGAGTGCTGGGAAGGGCGCGCTCAGTGCCTCAAGGGTGGTTGTCTCTGGATTCGGGGCTGCTGTTCACCCACAGAGCACCCTCAGTGCTCAGGAGTTTGTCAGGTTCTTCCTTTCACTCCTGTGCTTAGGCTGCTGAAGGACAGAAGTAGAGGCCGGCTAGGCACCGGGGTGGAGGGGCTGTGCCCGTCCCTGCCAGAGCAGGGGGTTGCGGGCGTGTCCCGCAGGGAGATGAAGCACGCTCCAAGCAGCGGAGGGCGCGGTCGAACCGTAGACAGGCACCGCTTCTCCCCCGCGCACGAGAGACCCCGCAGGAGCAAGATCGGAGGCTGCGTGGCTGCCTGCCTGGGAGGTGAAGGCTGAGTGTCGGCTGTGGGGACACGGTCAAGCTCAGCCAGGAAACAGCTTCAGTGGAAGAGGTGGGGAGCGCGGCAGGGCAGAGCTGCCTGGTCCTGAGGGCGAGAACGTCTGTGAGCTCTGCCCAGCAAGGGCTCACGTCCAGGATGCATGAAGAAGTCGTCTCAACAACAAAAGCCACGGCCTGGTTTGAAAGGGCGTGAAGAATTCGGATATTCCACCGAGGGAGACATAGGATTGGACAGGGCATAGGAGATGTTTACTTTCTCGAATTATAGCAGAAGGGAGGAGAGCTACACAGTTGGGAGAACGGCTGTTATTACAGAGACAAGAACGAGCAGGTTTGAGAGTACGCGGGGAGAAGAGGACCCGGTCGTTAGTGGTGGGGGGAGATTTCACGCGTCATGTGGAGAGCAGCCTGGAAATGCCCCCAGAGGCAAGGCTAGAAATACCTTGGGATCTGAGGGGTCCACTCCCGGGGGTTTATCCAAAGGACACGTGTGCCCATGTGTGTGGCTGCATTCTTCACAGTCGCTGAGATCCGGAGACAGACTCGGTGCCCAGCAGTGGACGAGGGGCTGAAGATGTGGGCCGTGGTATGCTCAGATCTGAGGAGAGATGATTTTCTGCCGTTTGCATTAACGTGGACGGCCCTGGAGGAGCGAATGAAGTCAGACATGTAGGGTCTCCGGATTTCGGGCAGGGGCTGGGGAGATGCGCCGCAGGCTGAGCAGTGGGAGGCCGGGTCCAGCCCCTGGCACCGCAAGTCCAGTCGCCTGACCTCTCCCCAGAGCTCCATCCCAGCACCGGCAGCCCCAGAGCAGGGAGTCGCGCCCGCGCACGAGGCCAGAGGAAGCACATGGGCTGCATCGGATGGCGTGAGGCAGATTCTGGGGCAGGGAGACGGGACGGGGCATGGCAGGGAGCTGGGCTCCTGGTGGGGCTGGACGCAGGCGCTCCCGTGCCTGTGTCCTTCCCGACTGCATTGTGTGTTACGGGAAACGCTGACCAGAGCGTACAGAAGGAGATCGAACCCTGGTGCTGGAACTCAGGTGATTTGGGCATACGGGTCCCCTCAGTGAACGGTGGAGGCAGGCAGCTCCCGGCCTGTATTGAGGGGTCTCGGGGCTATTCCCAGTGGTCATCACGGGGGCCTCATGCGCGGCCCTGGCACTGCTGGGGGCCTCCAGAAGGTACCCAGCAGTGGTTCTGTGTGGCACCAGAACCGAGCTGTGGGTGGCCATGTGCAAGCCTTAAACTCCCAGGTTATCTTTCCAGCCCATAAAGTGTTCCTTTTTTTTTC